TTTATTTCTATGAACTAGAAAGGAAAATAAAAAAAATCGTGTTGCATGAAGCATAAACTAATAAGAAATTTTGAAAATGATTGAGGGAAGAAAATGCTTGCTCATGTAAATCTTCACCTATATAAAGCTTTGCCATCAAGTTATTTACAGCTAATGTCATCAACTATTTATAGCTAATGCCATCAACTTTTTACAGATAATGCCATCAAACTATTTATAGCTAATGTCATCAAACTATTTACTACGAATGTCATCAACTAATATCATATGTATTAACCAGATTGATAACTTACAAATATTAAAAATCATGAAAAAAATATATGTAACGAGTGGAAAAAATCAATAATAATAATTATTATGAAGTAATAATATTGAGGAAAAGAATGCTTGCCAATTTTTCGAAAAATACTCTGAATCCTAAATCCAAAACTCATCCTTCTCCTTCTCTTGTTCTCGTTTTTTTCCTTTTTATTTTCATTCTCTCTCTCTCTCTCTCTCTCTCTCTCTCTCTCTCTCTCTCTTCCCGTGAGAAGTCTCTCTCCCTCTTTGTTGTTTTTTTTTTCGTGAGAAAGATTTGGAAGGGGGTTTTAAAGGGAGAGATTTGTGGAGGAATTTGTTTAGTGGGGAGAGATTTATCTAGTAGATTAATACAAGTGATGGTGACAAGTGGGTTTTAGTGGAAGTGGAAGTGGGATTATTACATTGGTGAAAATTCTAAAGGCCAATAAAATTGACATGTATCATATTATAAAGACACAAAAAGTTGATGTGTGTCATATCATAAGTATCCATATGTCATTTTATCCTATCAGAAGATAACATGTGGATACATTTTCTTATGTTTACCCCAAAAATGTTATCGAATTCAATCTATTTATAATTAAAAATTCTAATAATAAAATTTTTTGTAATCTTTATCAGATTATAACCATCTATAATTGAAAAAAAAATCATAATTATATATTTAAATATAGAAATTAAAGGAAAAACTCATGTAAAAAGTCTCTCTACATAAAATCATGGATTAATTTTAGAACCCCCGCCGCGCCCGCACCTCCCCACCCCCGCACCCCCAAAACAAAACCAACTATATTAATTTGAGAAACTCCCATCCAAAATTAGAGTATATTATAGATAACCTTTCTCACTATGAAAAATTTGAGATAAGCCTGCTAGAATCTTTCATTCACTTAAGCAACCCCAGCCCGCCCTCGCCGGCCTGCCCTCCGGTTGGCAAAATAGTATGAGTTGTGTCTTCGTAAACCTCTCTAGGTTATTTTAATTAGAGAAACTCTCCTTAAGTTTGAGCATATTGTAGATAACTCATTCGAGTTTGAAAATTTGAGAAACTTCCATGAACTCTTCTCACTTTACTCCGTGAAAACTAACATTGTTAAGTCCAGCATGTCACAGGACAAAAAGATGATCAAGAAAAGACCAAAATACCTCTCAATCATAAAAAAGATTACTCTGATTTTTTAGAATTGGATAAAGAGAGCAAAAAATATCATAAATTGAAAAAAATTCTTTATTTTAAGTGTTAGAAGTTTCTTTGTAAGTAAATGAGTTGATTTTCAAAAGGATATTTCAGTTATTTTGTACTTTAAAATAAAGTTAGGGTGGTTGGTGAGAAGAGTGCGAAAGATTAAGGGGTTTGGTGAGACACCACATAGTTGAGGGGGGTTTCTCTAAATTTTAAAGTTGACTGGAATTATTATAAAATTAGCAATGCGTCGTATCCTCAAAATATCAGGACCTAGAAAAATTGTCATATATTGCAAAACTTATCCATCCTTTCTATTTTCATAATTTTTTTGGTAATTAAACTAAAATCCCAATAAGTTTTGATGTTTTGCAGCAAATTACAAAATAATTTTAAAACTATTATTAACCACCTAATAACATTGGGAAATTGTAAAAAACACTCAAAAATATTTTAATTTTTTGCACTTAACTCTCATAGTGGTGTTGCTCCATAAATTTATACGGACAAAACTATCCTTAATGCTAATGATGGAAGAAAAATATTTTTTTTCATACAATAAAAATCTTAAAATTACATAGGCTAAATACCCATATTGGTATTTTAATTCAACCCCATTTGCCAAGAAGGTATTTTAAATAAAAAAATCGGCGTTAAGGCATTTTAATTGATTAAAATTACCAATTAGGTCCTTTTTCTCGTCGGCGACCACTTTTCCGGCGAGAACTCGTCACGTGCATTTTAATTCAACCGGTTTTCTGACGTAGCAGTGACAGGAAGAATAAGAGTCGATGCATTTTAAAATCCCCCATTTCTAAAATTGGTAAAAAAAATTAGTGAAAAATTAGTGGAGAAATTACCGTATAAATAGAACCTATTTCTCTTGCATCGATCCATGGCCGCGCCGGCGGCAATCTAGTCTGCAGTGATCTTCGTCTTCTCACTCTCTTCTCTCCGAATTCCCATGGCGTTTTCTTCTAGAAGTTCCTGGAATCGGGGGTTTTGGCTGCTTCTGTTAGCGGTAAAGGTAAGATAATTGAGTTGGATCTGAGATCTGGAGTGAATGCGTGGAAGTTTGATCTTTGTTTTGAAATTTTTAGGGTTCAGGTTGGTTCGTTTTGGACTTAAATTGTGATTAAGCCACATCAGCAGCTAAAACCGAGCCACATCAGCAAACCGAGCCACATCATCAGCTAAAACACAGATTAAGTCATCACGTGTCACGCACGTGACGAGTTCTCGTCGGAAAAGTGGTCGCCGACGAGAAAAATGACCTAATTGGTAATTTTAATCAATTAAAATACCTTAACGCCGATTTTTTTATTTAAAATACCTTCTTGGCAAATGAGGTTGAATTAAAATACCAATATGGGTAATTAGCCAAATTACATAAAAGCCCTGAAATAGTAAAAAAATTACATAGAACCCACTAAAAGTTACCAACGATCCACTAAAAATTTACAAATTATAAAATAACACAAAATATGAAAACAACAAACAACCCCCTCAAAAATAAAAATGTGTCAAACAACCCTAAACATATGAAAAATTATAAACAACCTCTTGAAAAAAAATCAAAAATTACGAAAAACTCTTGAAAATCTGCGAATTACAAAAAAAACCCTGCAAAATCTAAAATTGCCAAAAGCTCTTTTGGTTCAAGAATAGAAAAAACAAACCTCTTTAATATCTAACATTTACAAACACCCAAAGCAAACAAAAAAAATATAAATAACTCCCTTTAAAATCCAATAATCATAAATAAAGCCCTGAAGATACTGAAAATACAGACCCTTAAAATATAAAAAATACAATGACCTCTTAAAATTTTAAAAATTACAAACAACCCCCCAAAAGTCTAGAATTACAAACAATGCTATACAAAAATTATAAAATAAAAATAGTCCCTTAATATTTGAAAACTATAAATCAACCACCTGAAAATTAAAAAGTTCCAAATATTCCCTGAAAGTACAAAATTGCCAAAAAAAGAAGGGTTTTGGTAAATTTTGATTTAGAAAACCAATCAAATTGAGATAAAAACCAATATATAGAAACAAAAGAAATAAAGAAACCAGGTCGTTCCGTGCGAGAACGGGGTTATAATTTGACATCATCTTCTAACCCAATGTACCCCATGAATAATATTAACGATTTAAATTATATAAAAATATTTAAATGTGGGGCCCACTGATATTATTAATATGTGTAACTGGTCGTCGCAGGTGACCCAACTGTAACCATCTATCGCGTTAACGGGTTAACTACTAAGCTCAATGCATCCAGCCCGACCCGGCTCGTCCAAGTAATTACCGCCTCTCCTCCTCTTTATATATCCACACCAACGCGTACAAGCTAGTCCTCTTCAATCAAAGTTTTTCTCAGAAAAATCCTGCCCCCTTCGTTCTCGTCAAAATATTTCCCCTTCAAATATTGAAACACCTGTTGTGTATTTCAAAATATACAAAGAAAAATGTTTGGTGTTCCCTATGGATATCAACCTTTAGTGTTTTCAATGTTTTCAATCTTTAGTTTTTCCAATGTTTCTACCTTTGGCGTTCCCAACATGATTTAACCTTTCGTATTTTCTATGTAGTATAACATTTGGTATTCCATCATGATTCATCTATAAATAGAGAGTTGATCTCCTCAGTTGAAATAGACTAAAAATCACTCAAAATACTTTCTGTGCTCTATCTTCCTTCATGTCAGAGAGATATGTGTTGTTCTTTGTAGAACAGGTTATTGGAGTACACCTTAACCTGTTGTCTGTCGTTGAATCATGTGAGGAAAAACGCCACTGTAGACTTTTGCACTGAGAAGGGGCGAAATCTTTTCTTAAGGATAATGATTACACGTCTCGGCAGTTCGTAAACTTTGTGGCTTGTTCTGACCACAAGTAATTTTATTCAACAACACCCTAACCTTAGCCATGGTCCCACCGGCGGATGGCAGCCTCAGCAAACTACCTTCATCCCAAGTTCCTTCCTCCGACTATATTCGATAATCGTTGTTCCTTCCTCCGACGATGTTCAAACGGTTATCGAGGAAACTTTCTCTTTTTGTTGCGCACCAGGGCCCTGAGTACGAGCGGAGGGTTACGGCTATAAACGCTGGCAATGTCGTGTACAACTTCTTGAAACCTACGGAACCCTACCATGCTTACTACCAGCACAAAGTTTCGGAGTCCGAGACCCAGCTACAACGTCGATTATACTGATCGGGTTCTGGTGTCGATATGGAACACTAGTAAAAATACGAGTATCCCAGACGGAATATCCCAGACGGAAAATTTTCCGTCTGGGATAAACTATACTAGACGGAAAAAATCCGTCAAGAAATTTCCGTCTACAATATAATATTCTAGACGGAAAATTCCGTCTAGAATAGTATTGCAGACGGAAATAATATTTTAAATTTATTTTTGAATTTTTGCAATCTCCTAGACGGAATTTTCCGTCTAGAATGTATCCTAGACGGAAATTTCCGTCTAGGATATTTGGTACATTTTATTGAGAAAAATCCCCAGATCTGGCCTCTAATTCAATTTCATCCCCTAAATCCCTAAATCCCCTAAATCCCCAGATCTGGCCTCTAATTCACCTCCCTCCCGTCCTCGCCGTCGCCTCCCTCCCGAAGTCGTCGTTGACCGAATCGCAGGAACCAGAACTCCAAGATTTCGTCGTCGCCTCCTCTCTCGTCCGCGAGCATCGTCGTCGCCTCCTTCCTCCGGATCTAAAGGTCGTTGGTTCAAATCCCACTGCGATTTACACTGTTTTCCTCGTTCAATTGATTTGTGCTCATCGTTCGGAGTCCCAGTCTCATAGCAAACCTTGGCTTGTTAATTCTTATAGTTTTCATAATAGTAAACCTTGGCTTGTTAATTCTTACACTGCATACTCCCAGTCTCATAGCAACATAGATAAGAATGAGATGGTGCATTTAGTTTCTTGTTCCTCTTATTCACTGAAATGGAGAGTAGATAAATTCGATTTTCATAAGCGTATGAGACTTTCTTTGTATCCCACTTAAATGATTTAATTGCATTTGACGTCCATAGAGAAAACATGTATCATATATATGTATAAACCTACATTGACAAATTCTTTGTATCCCACTTACTTCGATGCTTGCCCCCATATGAAGTGGAATGTGTTATGTGTCTATCAGCTATGATATATTAAACACAACTTTCAAAAAATAGGGTGATATATAACATATTATAATTTTTAATAATGTGTTATATATCCAATTTAGATGATGAAAAAAATAATGTTATCCCTAAACTTCCGTCCAATAATTACACCCAATTCTTTAGACTTATAATATAAGATAGACGACTCTTATTTGGGTAGGAGACAAAATTTTCTCCCAGAAATGATTGCTTATTTTATATTATACGAAGAAAGAATTGGTATTGAAATTCATAATTATTGGATATGTCCTTCTCGGACGGGTTAGGAATATAGTTGTGCATACATCCAACTTTGTATACTTTGTATGATTTCATTTCTTAAAAATTTTGGCAGCCCATACCTGTTGTTCTCCGTGTACAATAAGCGTATGTTGTTTTGCGTTTTGATATGTTGTCAGTGCGCATAATAACATCCGCACAGTGTACAGGGAGAACAGCGGGTAGGTGCTGCCGAAATTTTTAAGAAATGAAATCATACAAAGTATATGAAGTTGGATGTAAGCACTATTATATTCTTAATGGATAGAAGCCTTCCTATGACAGCCGTTAGAGTGTGCTAATTAGTCTCCATACCTTAATAAGTTTAAACCATACCTTAATGTTGATACTTAAATGCACCAACGTTTGTTTTGAATAGTTTAAAATTTTATGGGTATACTATCTATTCTCAAATAGAGTTTCTAAATATATATTACCTACAGATGAGGAAAATTCCTGACAAGTCATGGATAGATATCCCTAGGAGTGAACGGTTTCGTGATCAACGTTATAGGGATGGATGTGAAGCCTTCATGAAGTATGCCGAAATGAACCCAAAAAATTTAAGTAGCGGTGCAATGTACTGCCCCTGTTGTAGGTGTAAGAATATGAAGCTGAAAAATAAAGATGAGATACGAAGTCACTTAGCAAACTCATAATGCCGATCAATTTGAAGGCGAAGTTAGCTTACGGCACCTTTCACTCAACATATAAAAAGGAAGACAAGATTAAAGAAAACATGGTTTTGGTGGTAATTATTTTTCAATAAATCATTAAATAATAACTATTACGTTGTTGTACATTTCATTAATTAATAGTTTAAACTGTTGTACTTTGAAATCAGGCTTCTTAAAAAAAATTGCATTTCCACCCACGCTTTTTACAGGGCCACATTCATTATCTGACAAATCAATATATATCTATTTTTCTTATGTGATTTAGGATAATATTGTTGCCGCGTCGAAGGATGCAGCACTACGTGCTACCCAAGAAGCTGATGATGACCCTCATGTCTTGTCTAGAGAGGAAAATAATGCTATTGCAATGAATGTGATGGGGTATAATAACCGGGGCAAATTTCCATTGATGGGGGTTGGAGCTCAGCGGGGTACCTCCAGATTATCCTCCACGGCATCCTCGACAGCCTCGACTGCGACAACATCATCAGACAGAACCCTTGCATCTTCTACAATTATGCGCGTCAACCGTTATCTGCGCGGTAAGATCGACCGTACATTACTCATGCAGGTGACGACGGCTATGTGTTCAGATTTGCCTCCATCCCCTACTAGCGACGATGTTTTTACACACATCGTTTTATGCTTGTCCGGGAAGATTTCAGCTGAATTATTTGAAGAAGTTTTGGACCAATTAGATTTAGACGTTGGCGCACAGGTAAATTACAGACAAATCATTATTTTGTTGAATTTCATTCTCTAAATATAAATCTATTTATTTTCAGGCTGGACTTGCTGGAGGAAGCAGTAGTGGCGTGCAGAGGAGGGAACTTGACGATGATGAGCACTCTTGATTTTATGAGGTAAGTTAGTTAATTGTATGTGTGTATGTGTGTATGTGTCTTGTGTGAATATGATATTTTATGCGCTTAAATGTTGATACTTGACTGTATGTATGGGGTGTTAAAAGAACAGGATTCAGCTTTGGATTTACATGCTCTGTGGATTTATAATATGAGATGTAATTTATCACTGACGGTGTTTTGGAAGTCACGCTCATTATATTCAGGTTTGGGGGGTGTTTTGGAAATGGGATTAGGTGATTTATTTCACCACTGAGGGGGTCTTTACATGAATAATGCTGAACCCATGTTCCGTAATACTGAAAAAATATGCATCTTATTATCCTATGCTCTTATGCATAGGTCTGTTCCGTTTTGAAGACACTGACCAGTAAAACCAATTTTATCTTGGAAAGCTCTTCATTAATGAAATAAATTAAGGATGAAGGAGAGGGAAAGTACATCAATGGAAATTAATAGCTTGATATGATGTCAATTATTATTATTATATATATATGAGAATTTAGAAAGTCTAAAACCATGTCAGTCATTTATTTTTGAGTTGATGTTATATATTCTGCCGCAAATAACCAAATGTCTAAAATCAGGTCATTGAGTTTGGGAGTATTCATTTGCATCAAGTGCTCAGGTGTTCACGGAAGTCTTGGAGTTCATATATCAAAGGTATTGACTGAACAGTAAGCTGTTTGGGCTTCAATTACTAATTTTATTAATCATATATGATATAATGTTGATTATCTGGCCCAACAGAGATTTGCTTGTTGATGAATGTACTCTGATATATCTTAAGCGAGATATTAACTTAAAATTAGAATTTTTATAGCCATATATAATCTACTGAGATGCAGTGCAATACTATGAGCATGTACGACAATGTTGCGTTATTTGCTTAATTCACTCATTCTAGTCTTTTTCCATGATTAATTAATTAAGATGGTTCATAGTGGAAACAATTTGACATCCTTCTGATTGAAGTGTTCAGGGTGGCAGAGGATGAAATATAGATAAACATGGAAGACATTGTCTCCAGTTCAATTAAGGTGCATGAACGTTATGCATGTGTCTATGTATATTTTCGTATTCACCAATTAAAGAATCATAAATGATCAAGATGCATGAAACCATCAAATGCTCAGTCAATTATCTAATAGATCAAGAATTCAAGATGCATGACACCAAAATGTTTTGCTGCTGAACACAAAAAGAAAAAAAATGGAAAGGGTTTACAGAAAGTCAACCAAATTTAGAGAGTCAAAATCAAAACTTTATAGATAAACTCGTCAATGGTGATTAACATTGGAAACTACAAGATGTCTAGGAGAGGCTAGAAATTTTACTTCAAACCTTAGATTTATCCTTTCTGTAAGTGGTTTAATTTAGAAACTTTTCTAGGCAAGATTAGTAGACATGAATGTTTTCTGTATATGGACAAAACTTTTGCAAATTAAAATGGACTACTGTTCAATTATTGTTGTGATAAACATGCTGGTATACTGTAACGTATTTATCCTACTAGTTTTTTCTCAAAAAGTATTAGTATTAGGCACCATTGTGAAAGTTGTTTGCCATCGCAAACGCGAAAAATGCCTGGCTACCGTAAGCTATGCTTTCTAACTATTTTCTAGCACTACTAATGTTTAAACTTACCTTTTTTCTTAATACCAATCAAAATGAATAATTGCATTTAGTTACTTGTACGTACCAATCAAAATGTGATACAGGGATTTAAATTTTGGAGACAAGAACTGAAAACATGCTAGTACTAGCAGATGTAATATGTGGCCCCAATTTGTCTTACCTGTTTGTTTTTCTTTAACCAATTCATAATCCTTTTATCCATTCATCTATTCCTTACACAAATTACACGAGTGACATGATGTAGATATTTCCAAAATCTTAGTAAATTTCAAAAACATCACTGACTAGTTTCAAAAAAGCATCCCTTAAACTGGTGATTCCAAAATCTTAGTAAATTTCAAAATTATTAACAAGATGTAGCTTTCTGTTTATCTTGCAGGTGCATGTGTTTCTTTGAGCTTCTCTGGAGAAAATGGACTTGGATATCGGTTTGTAAACCGTCATTGTATTACTTTGTTGACATTGTGAGTTGATTCAGTTGTGCGGCAAATTTATAAGTGTATGTGTGGCAAATATATAAGCTGACATTGTGTTACTTTGTTGTGTGAAAAAACAAAGTTTATATGTGGTTACTTTGTTGGTGTATGATTTATTTATGAAAAAACATATGTTACTTTGTTGTGTGATTTATTTAACTTGTTTTGTGGATAATTATCATGTTGGTGTGGTTGGTTAATTTGTAAGCTGGATTTACAGGGTTGTTTGAGTGGATTTACAGATTTGTAAGCTGGATTTATAGATCTGTAAGCTGGAAAACTGCACACAATATCCCAGACGGAATTTTTACATCCCAGACGCAATTTTTACATCCCAGACGGAAATTTCCGTCTGGGTTGTAAAGTCGTCATGTATAGGATTCCGTCTGGGATAAAAAACCCAGACGGAAATTCCCGTCTGGGATAATTATCCCAGACGGAATAAATTTCCGTCTGGCATAAAAATCCCAGACGGAAAGTTCCGTCTGGGATCATAATTATCCCGGACGGATTATTTCCGTCTGGCATAACTATTCCAGACGGAAATTTCCGTCTGGGATAATAATTATCCCAGACGGAAATTTCCGTCTGGAATAGTTATGCCAGACGGAAATAATCCGTCTGTAATGTATTGGAGACGGGTTTTTTTTCCGTCTACTAAAATCCGTCTAGAATACATTACAGACGGAATTTCCGTCTAGAATAATGTATTCTAGACGGAAACAAATTAGACTCGTATTCCAGACGGAATTCCGTCTGGAATATGATTTCTAGACGGAATTCTAATTATTCCAGACGGAATTTTCCGTCTGGAATATGTCGTTTTGTACCAGTGGAAGTTCGTTCACCTACGTCTCTACAGCCGTCTGATGAGGGTTGTAAGACTCACCCGACTACTCGATTTCAAAGCTCAGTTGCCAGCATATGCCGCTGTATTACCAGGTCTTAGAACATATGAGGAGTCAACCAAACCTATTGGAGTTTGGTTCGCCCGCCCTTAGAGTGACGGGTTAAGAGATATCAGTGTTTTTGCCATTTTTTTGCTATTTTTAATAATAATGTAGGAGTCATTTTCTTGTTAGAAAACAAATTCAGTTTAATATTAGAAGATTGGTTTTCTTATTCTTAGAGTAGTATTTCTGATAATTTTGTAATATTATTAAAATCCCTTCATAATAGTCTCATTGGGTTCAGAATATCCTACACATGTCTCAGAGAGTCATATTAAGAAATAGACCAAAACTATAATTTAACTATCATAAGGTTCTATGGTAATCTCAGGTCTAAGGATCATTTACACATACTATCGCCTGGGGAAAAACTTATTGACATTTACATAGATCCATTATGCCTTCCTCGAGCAAGTCAGTTCAGTGAACTCATTCTATAATGAGCACTTACACTTTTATATTAATGACTCTTCACAAGTAACTGTGAGATCAGTTACCCTCTATCATAGAGTATATAACAAGTGTACTAGCCTTACCGGTTCACTGATCTCATACTCAGTAACCCTACAACTAGGAACATTTTTAAGCTAAGATTTTTAGGGCTTTAGGTCTCACTGGCATAATCTCATTATGACCCTAAAACCATTGCATTAACTTATGGGTCTCATCATGCTTAATATTGTATGCAGCATATGATAAATACGAAAGGCCTTAATTTTACTTCATGCATAGAAAATAACACTGATTACATCAAATGCGATTGGATTTAGAGCACTAATCCTAATAATCTCCCACTTGCACTAAAGCCAATTGCCACAGTATCTTATACCCATGCTTTCTCGGTGGCGTTCAAACTGCTGCTGTGCTGCTGTGATAATGGCTTAGTGGATGGATCCGCAATGTTGTTCTTGGTGTCGACTCGGTCAACGCTGATATCACCTCTTCCAACGATTTCTCGAACTAGGTGATATCTCCTTAGGATGTGCTTGGACTTGTGGCGGGATCTTGGTTCCTTAGCTTGTACAACAACCCCAGTATTGTCACAAAATAGGGGTACCGGATTAGCAATTTTATTCTTATTATTATAAATTATTAATTATAGTCTACTGAATTACTAAGGTTTTGTGAAATTGAGGAGATGCAAAATTAATAATATGTTTGGCATGAGTAATGAAAGGTTAATTAGAAACAATGGCATAAAAGTTAATTATCAAAATTGAGAGGATAAAAAGGCAATAAAAAATTTAACATAATAATCCTCTTTTTACAAATTTTATTTTTATGTATTGTTTGTACTCATAAGATCTTTAGATTTCTTATATTAAGCCCATAATAACTTCTAATTCTATGTAGCAAAAATGGAGATGCGAGGTATCTGCCCTCGTACCGCTCGCAAGCTATGTGAGCGCTCTACCATTTGAACTACATCCTCAACTAATAACTATTGAAATAATAATCATTTTAAATAGTTTATAATTAAATAATAATAATGATTTTTCATACAATTCTTTACGCACAATTCCATTGTACAATTTCATTTATAAAGACAAAATTTTAACGGTTTAACTTATGAATTATATCCATGTAAAAGATGCTTCACTATTATTCGGTCAAGAAACAAAAAATTCAAAACATAAAACAAAAATAGCTACGGACTATATTAGGTTATTAAAATAAAAGACGACTACATCTGTTTACAAAGTGAATCTTAGTTTACAGCTATAGGATGGATTGGGGGGGCCTTGTTACATACATCCATGAGATTAAATAGAACGTCGATGTTTTCATTACAATTTTTATTGTTTGTACCCATAATACTGCAGCCAATTTCCTCAAACACGTACAAGTATGAATATGCACCCGCATAAACTTTTTATTTTATTTTATACCCAGCCCAAAATTTCTTTTTCGATAAACCTACCGCCTCAAATCGAACCTGAAAGCCATATCGAAACCTGAGCCTCCCAACCGTCCGAGACACGTGCGGTGGGTATGCGACCGAGACACGCGCGGTGGCTATGCGCTGGTATATACTTCAAATTTCAAAACCAACCAAACAAGAAAACATGAGACTAAAGAAAGTGATCTAAAACGAAACCCCTTTTACCACTAACTTGTTAACATAATACTTGTACATGAAAAACACCACCCACAGCATACACCTTCATTAAAACCCTAAAAACTTTCAGAAAACCAAAACTTCCAACCCTCTCTCAAAAACCCCAGCTCACAGCTGCACTTCCCTATCAAAGATCCAACTAAAACCAACCTTAGGCCTCAGCTTTGCCCTCCCCTGTGCCCTCTCCTCCAACCTCCGAATCCTCGGCACCAACGTACAAACGTACTCCTGAGCCCTCCTCCCTTCGGCCGACAACCCCGACAACCCCCCGACCTTCCACCGATCAACTAAAAACTCGAGAATATCTGCGTAATCTTTCGCAGTGTAAACCCCTATTCTCTGTGCGACAGAAGAAAAGTGATCGAAGAGGTTATCGTCACGACCATCGTACATGAGGTGAGCAGGCATCGAGATTTTCTTCCTCATCATGTCAGCAAAGGCGAGGACGGTGTCGTCCGGGTCGATCTCAAAGAGCTTTTCGACGATTTTGGTGTAAGCTGTCTCGTGCCTCTTCTCGTCGGAGGCGATGATGCCGCATATCTGGGCGAGCTTTAGGTCTCCCTTGTCCTTGGCATGGCGGGCTGTGTTGCCGTGGGATATGAAGGTTGCTCGTTCTTGGAAGGAGGTGTAGATGAAGCCCAGGTACGGGTTGTTCTCAGTCCTAGGGTCCTGGAGAAGCACAGAAATTTTGGTCAAGAAAAGGGGAGTAATCAACAAAACAACAATTTTACTCAAATATGTGAAGATGAAAAACATTTGAAACTAAGTATGAAAAAATGCATCTCGTAGACCCCCTTGTAGTATCGCTGTTTTGAACTTACTAACCTCGTAATCTCATTGTTGAAGATAGATACCCTGAGTTATTTTTATCTTTTTTTAGTCATTTGCCCTCAGATAGATTCACAAACTTCATCCAGGGACAATATATGCCAACATTTCACCCAGGGTAAAAGAGTCAAGAAAAATCTAAACATAGTGGGTCTATCCACAAGAATGAAACTGTAGGGTGGTAAGATCAAAATAAGATATTATGGGGGTCTATGCACAATCAACCCCAAATAATAACATTGACAAAAAATCCAAAGTTACAGAATTACATGAATAGAATACAAATTTCCTGAATAAGTTGCAAATAGTTCATAGGCAATTTATCAATCTTACTAGTTTTAATGATTCAATATAACTTATTGTTGGAGAATAATCCCAAGAATCATGTGGCAAAGGGAAGCTTTAGAATAATTTGACCATTCTCATTCAGAATGTTGTGACAGCAATTGGAACAATATTAACAATCATGCTCTGAAAATTTCAAGATTCAGAAGTCAGAACTCTGTGGTTCTACCGTAAAATAAATACATCTGTACTGAAATGGAGGAATAATTGTATCTCATGTGTTCAGATTAGCCAGTCTAATCATAACATTTAATAATTTTTATCACGCGTTTTTAACCGTGCATGTGTGATTATGATTTTTTTTAAAAATAAATAAATCTTAGGATTCTACTTGGTGGAATTGGCTAGTTCAACCCCAACTCTTAGCAGACTTTTCAACAAGTGCAACCCTTATGGCCTCAACTTGAACTCTGTTCTCTTTGTTGCAAATTTTCGTTAAAATTAAAATAAGAAATATCGGAACTTAAAGTTAAAATTTTTTTAAGTAATGAAAAAAAAATGAGAGGTCATGGTTGTCAGAACTGGTACATATACTCAAAAGTTCAGAATTGTGTTCAAAAAACTAAAACCTTCTAACCTAGTATACCACTTTGTATAAGTGGAAAAATGGAAGTTAAAGCTCAAAAAAGAGAGAAGAAATTGAAAGGTTCCCCCCAGTAGAAGACCAACATCCTCAGCAAATGACAATATGAAATCAAAGTAAATACTGCAGGAGAAAGTCAAAAGTTGGAAGAATTCAGCAAATATTTTTTATTTTGTAATAAATAGGCATTTTGTATCAATGATATAAGGATGAGAAAAATACAATATCAATACCATATGATGGTCAATAGTCAACACTAAGGAAAAACTTCAGCAAACACATAACTAGTGTAGCTTTAATAAGTAGTGAACTTTCCAGGAATAACGCATGATTTATAAAATCATGCGTTTATCACTCTGCTAAACTAATATTGATGAACAATTTGCATCTTTTAACTTGGAGAATGCCATGAAAATAACAAATTGATGAAATCAGACAGTTTAAGTGAACGTAAAACTTACCATGCCTGAACCAATCAAATATTGAATAGTTTTCTCAATCTGCCGCATGTCCACTCTCCCAGAAAGGTAAAGATACCTATTAAGAAGATCCCCGTGTCGGTTCTCTTCAGCAGTCCAAGCCCTTGTCCAAATAGCCCACGAAGTAAGGCTCGCACCGGTCTCATCCCGAACTCCATCAAGGGTGTTGAGCATTGTTTGGTAAGTCGGGAGAGCCTCTTCTGTGATCATATCTCCAACAAGGCAAACAAAGTATTCATCCGGTAGTTCCTTTGCCCGTTCCCGCAGTTCCTTTATCTGGACCTCGTATCCTTCGGATGAAGTGTCGGGTAGGAAATCTTGCGGCTGCCAGCACTTTTCAACGGGCTTCAAATGGGTCAGGATGTTGGTCTCAGCCCAATTCTCCAAGCTCTTAAAGATTTCTATCTTTTGAGATGGCATAGAATGCGCGACTTGCACATGCACCTCTCTTGGAGGACTGAACGGCTTCTTCGGGGTCTCAACCCTAGTTTCATTTAGAGAGGTTAGATCTCAAAGAACGATATAACTACAACAATGAATATCATATTCAAGACATAATATCTGGCTCGGAGATGGAACAGGTAATGAATTATAGGCAAAATATGGGGTCTGAACTCGACAATGCAAACAGCACCATTAACATAAGTGTAATTGTTCATATTCAACATCTAACGATAACTAAATCAAATGCTTTTGAAACTCCTTGACTGTGAATTAGGTAGACAAGAAATGCGAAATAACAAGCTCAACAGGCTTCATAATGTAAGCCGAACAAACCCAGAATGGACACTCCCAGTCATAAAAATTCCTCAACATGCTTTATGAAAAGAAATTATAACACAACAAAAAACGGTGAAAAATACATGAAGAATATGTTAGTATAATGAAAATACCTAAAAATTTATTGAAACTTACAAAGAGCTATGGAAAATAACATCAAATTGTTCTTAGAAAACCTCCATTGTAGTACCATTAAATGCACAAATATTTTTACTAACATTTTACATGCATTAGGTGATGATTAGCATGGGGTTCGGAAAGATTTGTTTCAACCTCAAAATGAATATTGCAGTTAGAAAATATCAATTAGACAATATGTTTATCGCCTAGGTTGTTTCTATAATATCCACAAAGTATAATCAAAATAAATAAATAAATAAATGTAGCTTCCTTCCCATTTCTTCTAATTCCCAATTCCCTATGGGAAACTGGTTTCAAGTACAACCTCTTCAACTAGTTAATAGTTTTACAAGTTGCTCCTGATAAGACCGATGCCAGACTCATGTGAATCCAATCCCACTCCCATTTCAAATCGCCCTAAGAACCTTCGCATTAATGGGTACAAGCTAAGTGATCCTATAACCAAGTCTAACATATAGTTATCTAAAAATATTAAATAGCCTCGCCCACTTTTAATATTTAGCTCAAGGGTACCGCAAAACACACATCAACAACCATGAAAAGGGGAAACATTTCCTTAACAACAAGAAAGGGGAAAAGCAAAAATAAAAAGAAGGGGAAAGGGCGGAAGGAGGGGGGAGATTTAAGAAAATATAAGTAATTTCACCATACTGCTCAACCCTGATCTGATATCTGCCTTCGGCTTCAGAAACAATGGAAGACAATACCAACTAACATAAAGCAGTGATTTGTTTTCTCCTTTTCAATTTTTAATTCTTTATCCTCTAGCGTATTGGCTATAAATCACTAAACTACTGCTTCCTCTATAAAATTTTCTTGAAATGCTGGAACCCATTAGCAGATACTGTCATTAAGATTGGGTTCTAACTCCTAATCCATAGTAATCTTTTGTACCTCAGTCTATAATGCCGAGATGGATTGGCGTTTTACACTAAATATTGTGATGCTCCGGTTACAACTTCCCATATGCACCCATTGTGATTAACTAGACATAGGTAAGTCATTCTTACATCTCTTGACGCGCCACATTTAAGTTACCAGACAACCAATTCTCCTAGCATCTCTATAATTCCCACCTGTCTTTAACCCAGAAATGAGTTTGCATAAAAATCTTGCAATGCTCTAGGTTCAACACAGCGATATGTAGGTTAATTTTATGTTTGACTGCACCATATTCTAGTTACTTGGTAACTGATTCTCCTCAGCATAAATGCACATGCATGTAAGAACATAAAGAATGGGATATGACAAAAATCAATTCCACCCACATAAACCCTTTACCCGTTTTAGATAAAATAACATCTATATTCACTTTGAGAACTTTGCTCTCTAGAAGTAAATACTAACTAGGGATATGACCAAGTTCTTGAACAAGGCAACCCTAGCAATACTTGGGCATTACATAATCCTGAGGTTGGTAGGAAATTAAGTTCCTCAAACAATCACCTTGATTTCCTTCATGTATAGAACAGTGCATTCCAAAATTAGATTACCTAATTTAAATTAGCGGTCCACAAGCTTTATATAGTTAGCAACAGCAAATAAACAACAACCCAACAAACTTGAGGAAAATAAATACCAGCATAATAAAAAACATATATCAGAAGGCAACATAGCCTCCAGTGTAGTCATCAGTACAAATCAGATACAAACAAACATAAAGATACGAGTACAACAATATTCAAGATGATTATTCTAATATGAAATATCCCAGATCTACATATAAAAATATCCCGAATGCGAATCCACACTCATCAAAGTGAATGAACTCCACATGCAAGAACAAGAAAATATAACATGGTAACGTTTAAGATTAAAATGAGAAACGATAATAGATATCAAGTAAATTATTCAACTAAAAAAAATAGAAATATAATTCCTTATTCTCAAATCATAAACGTTGCCCTTTGCCCACTTTAGATAACATGAAGAGAGAATTAATTGGAAAAAGAAAATCCCTCCATCTCAAATTTCTCATTGTCGGAAACTAACCAAACCCATTAAGATTTCATGCAAGGGGATTCCCATCACCAACAATCAAAAGTAGAAAAATCCCAAACGTCAAAATCCCAAATTGATGCTCAAAACAAAAAACCCTCAACCCATAAAAATCTCAAGACACCAATACAAACGAACCCACTTCGGTTTTCCACTCAAACACAAAAACCCATGTAGATTTCACGAAATGAAACAACAAAATCATTAAAACCCAGGAGAAAGAAGCTCACTTAGCGGTCGAAGACGAGGCTCCGATGGTGGAAGCCATTGAGATCGTCGGAGATCTGAGACCGTAGCCATTACCATTCCTCCTGCTGCTTTTAGACTGAGAGAAGCAAATGAAGGGCTCAACTCCGAAAGCCAATCTCGATGCCATTGCTCTTTAGAATCTTTTTCTTGATTCTGAGTGTTGAGAGTGAACGGCGAGAAGATTTAATAGGATCCAGAATTTCATTTGGACCCATTTCTTATCATGAATTTACTAATCTACGCTCGGCTTTTCGTTGGTTATTTTTAACAGAGGAACCCTTGTGCATTTTAGATTTGCAGAGATAGCATTCCTGTAATGTAGGTGCATGTGGGCCCCAGTGTCTTCGTCTACGAAATCCAGGTGCTGAAACAGATGGCACCCACTGTTTATGAAAATCGTGGGCTTTAAAACTTCTCCATTAGAGCCAAAGCATTGTCTTACCTCCTAAGCAATTAAATAGTTTTCACTTATAGTTAATTGTTTTATTAGTAAACTTTAATATAAGTTCTTTTTAATTTCATTTATTCTCTTTATTACGACAAAGAATAATAAATTTAAAGAGATTTTGTCACGTACTTACAATGCAGGGGAGGATCTACATACAGTCCAGGGGGGCCACGCCCCCCCCCTCAAAATTTGGGGGAAAAAATTAGGATGCTCTATTTCTCAAGCCCCCTCAAAAAAAAAAAAAAATTTGTGGTGCTCTATTCCTAATTTGGGGGAAAAAATTAGTTTTTGAATATTAATTATTTGAGGGTTTTTATGTATATATTAATAGTAAATATATTACCATGAGTAGCAACAAGATTAATAAATGGGGTTTCATTGAAATTGGAAATTTATGGAGAGGTATTTAGCGAATGGGCAGAATGAGCTCGTGGTCATCAAGACATCACCATTGGGCATCATTATCGATTAGACTTTCTTTATGTCGCGATTGATTCACAAATGCAAGAAATTAATGTGTGTTTTAGTGAAAGATGCAACAGAATTGCTCATGCTTAGTTCTGCCTTAAATCCTCAAAATGCATCTGAGGCATTGAGAATACAAGATATATGCAAATTTGTTGGCAAGTTTTATGCACAATATTTTACAAGTGAAGAAAAAGAGAGTTTGAAGATGCAATTGAAACATTATGAGCATAATGTAGTCAAAGGGTCAGATCAAAACTCTTTCAACCATTTCTGAGTTGGGTCAATGGTTGGTAAAGACTAATAAATCTGCTACATACGACATCATTTCTAGAGTGATCGTACTTGTGCTTACTCTTCCAGTTTCTACCGCTACTGCAGAACGATCATTCTCAGCTATGAATATCGTCAAGACTAGACTTCGAAGCAAAATGGAGGATGCTTTCCTCTCCAACGCATTAATGGTGTTTATTGAAAGAGAAATTGCTAAAAGTCTGAGCATTGATGCTATCATTGAAGGCTTTGAAAATTTTAGGGCTTGTTTGGATTGAGGGAAATGAGGGTGAAGGGAAGTTAGGGGAACCATTCACTTCCATTCACCTTGTTTGGGAACACTTAGAAGGTGAAGTTAATTCATCCTAGTTCCCCTTGGTTCACCCCCTAATAGTAGTATAAAATTTGTTACCCCCCAAATTGGGGTGTAACCAAGGGGAAGAGAACTCCATTCCCTTCCCTTCCCTTCCCTTCTCTTAGGCCTGTTTGGATTCGTAGGGGGTGAAGGGAAGTTAAGGGAAACTGAGTGAAGGGAAGGGAAGGGAAAAGAAGGGAAGGGAAGGGAATTCCCTTCCTCTTGGTTACACCCCAATTTGGGGGGTAACAATTTTTATACTATTAGGGGGTGAACCAAGGTGAATGGAGGTGAATTAACTTCACCTCCTAAGTGTTCCTAAACAAGGTGAATAGAGGTGAATGGTTCCCCTAACTTCCCTTCACCCTCATTCCCCTCAATCCAAACAAGCCCTTAGTTTCCCTTAACTTCCATTCACCCTCTACAAATCCAAACATGCCCTTAAGAAACGTCGAATTCCTTTTAGTTAGAGAAATTTTAGTTATAAAAAAATAGATGATGCTTATTTGACTATTTTCTATATAATATTTATCTTCCTCTTTTGAAATATTTTGGAGATATTGATGTTGGCTATTCTACTCGTTTTATGTGGGTTGTGGTATATCTCTTGTGAATAAAATTACATTAAGAAAATTTTTTATCTATCTTTTGTACGCGGCCCCCCCAGAACTAAAATCCTGGATCCGCCCCTGTTACAATGTCCACCTCGTAGGATCCAAACAACAGATCTTAGATATACTAATGAGGAAAGTTTTAGAAGGAGAACAAGACGCTATATTTAGGAGTAGCTTTGTGAATATGGATGGGTTTATTGTCGCATTGATATGAAACATTGCGCTCATATAAAGACCACTAGGGCATTTGAGCAAGATCTAAATGAAACTCATCTGAAGATTGAGTCCATGATTTTAGGTAATAAGTCATAATCTACAAATTAAATAGAGCGAAAGATAGGAGAGTGCACAACCAGGTCTATTATGCATGATGTGAGAATTGGTTATTTTCTAAATTTGATAGTATAGGGCTAGATGTAGAGTGATAATTTGCGGCTCGTGATTGACCAAGTATATTAATTGTCGTATCTTTGACAAAGACGATATGGCGCTCGATAGTAACCACGTTGGAGCGCTAATTACACTGAGCTACAGATCTAATAAATAATTCTGTTTGAATTGTAGTACTATACAGACACTAATTGCGATCGTTGAAATTCCAACCCTCGGACCTTATTAGTGTTGGGTGTAAGTCATATATCACATTCTTAACATTATTCTTTGCCGATAATTACCTAAGTTTTAGTCATATATTTTGTGTTTATACAAGTGAAAAATTAAGTAGACTTCTCTATTCTTTTTTGCTTGTAAATTAGTAAGTTAACAAAGAGCTTAATTAATGATTTTTTTTTTTTTTTGATGATAACCCTTTGTGAGAGACTCCACGTGCTTGGTAACAATCTATATACTATTACTAAAAAGTATTACCCTTCAAAACGCCACTTGGCAAAATCACCAACATCTCCTTTCACCGCCACTTTCACCGCCACTTGGCAAAATACCCGACATCTTCTTTCACCGCTTCTAAATCCGTGCACCGCTTCGTCTTTCACCGCCACTTGGCAAAATACCCGACATCTTCTTTCACCGCTTCTAAATCCGTGCACCGCTTCGTTGCTATCTTCAATGCACTGCATCGTTTCCAGCTTCTTTTTCCTTCCCAATATCTCCTTTACCCCATTTCCCCCGAAGCCATTCCTTCTTCCGTTCTTAATTTCCCGTAATCGACTGTTCGTTTCCTTCAATCTCAGCTCTCCTTTACCCCATTTCCCCCAAACCCTATATTATTCCTTCGTTCTTACTTTCAATCCCAGCTCTTCTGTAGTGTTCCAAGGAATCATGTCCATGGGATAACTTCCGAGTACCCGTAGAAAGGAAGTGAATTCTTGGATCTCAGCAAGAGCATTCTGAGCCCTCTTCTCCGCCATGGACGCCTCGAAATCGAGGTAGTACATGTATTCAAACCTCTTAGCCGTCCCGATGTTGCCGTCGTCCACCAGCCAAATGGGCCTATTCCTCTCGAGAACCAAATAATTCATCGAGAGAGAGAGAGAGAGAGAGAGAGAGAGAGAGAGAGAGAGAGAGAGAGAGAGAGAGAGGGAAATGGAGGCTAACACTGATGTCGGATCTAAAGGGAAGCTCATCATCGACACAGATCCTAGAGTTGGTAATTTTTCTTGATGTTTTTTTTTCCTTTTTTTGCTTTCTTATCGAAATTTTGGCTCAGGAAAAGTGATGGAGGATTTAGTCTTTTTTTTTTCTTGTCTTTGCCTCTGGTGTGGACTTCGAGAAAAGTGAGGTTTTGATTCCTTGGAATAGTCCCGACCTTTTTCTGATCTTTGATTAGTTTACTTATGAGTTTGTCTTTTAGCATCTGGTTTATTTCATGAATAGAGCTTAATGTGTGCATAGTTAGTCTTTAATTTAACTTAATATGCATCACAACAATTAGATTGGACAATGTTATGTATTCTCTTGTAGTTTCAGGATATTGTAGTTTTTTTAATTTCAGCTTCTAAGTATAGTTCCCTACATGACCTTGGGGATTATTGGGTTATTTTATAGTTAGTGAAAACCGAATTAGTAAAGATCCCAATGGCTGAATTATTTGTTTACTCTATTTGCAATTTTTCGTACAATTGTATCCTTGACATATTGAATTCTTTACATTATTCAGAAAACACGCAACCACGTTAGACAATTAAGCCTAATTTTTATTTAGATACAATTTAATGGAGTGCACCAGCAACTTTTTTTATTAATTCAAGTGTAAAGGTGGGATCCCCATTACCTACCCTTTTAAAAGGAGGAAATTTGTCCAAGCTATTGTGACGAACTCGAGCAAATTCAGAAGGTTAGACTTGCGTGATTTCACATGAAAATTGATTCATGCTTTAGTTTTTTTCATTGCATGATTATTTTAATTAAAAAACTTGGATCTATTTATTATATTATAGTTTGCAGGTGAAAATTACAATGATCATCTCTTCCAAATAAGGCAACAAGGTAATGTAAATATACTTAATTATTAGAAGGTGGAACTTGGGTGAACCCATGTTTCATGTTTAAATACTTAGCATTATAATTTTGATTAGATCTGGGTAATATAAGTGTATCATTCACTAGATTAACCACAAAAATATGCTTTGAGTTTTATTCTTTTTGTGCTCTAACTACTACCAACATATTAATTGTTGTCACCCTATTCATCAATTTTATTTCTCATGTTTTTAGCTCAAAGTTGGGTTGTTTATTCAAAAAGACAATACTCGCTACTTGGATTTCAATTAATTGAGTTGGCTTTGCCATGCAAATATCTACATTAAGTATTTAATTTTCCAAGTTTTTATTTTAGTTTTGAATGAGTATGTTATGTAAGATACTTATGTTTTTTCCTTTTATGGACACACACACAAAAACTAACCTATATAACAATTTTTTATGGTTTATATTGAGATCTCTAAGTAGATATCTGACATAGTAAGTTGGTCATCAGTACCAAGTTAAAGCATTAGTAATTGACAATCCAATTATATAATAGGGATAAATTTAGATACCATTAATGTTGGCTATTAGTTATGTAATGCAAAATAGGGGTAAATTTTAGATTTGTTAAAAAAACCTTAATAAGATGAACAAGCAGCTAAGTATATAGTTACTCTCCTTATCCTTCCATACTATACTTCCATACTATACTGCCAATAAAAATAATTATCCACATTATTGAGTCTTAACTTAACTCCTGTTTATTCACAAGTTTTAATTTTAGGTCATAAAGTTAGGTGATTACCCTTGGAAACTGTAAAATTGTACTCATTATTCCATACTATACTACCTTTCTTATCATTTTTGCTACTATATCAAAACTCCAAACATAATGTAATATAAATAGGTTGTAATCAAACTAACTATTGCATTTATTACTTTTCCTTTAGTAATTCTAAGTATTATTCATAGTGTCCATCCAAACAAATAATTTGTTGCCAAGTCCCAAATTCTGTAGATTCAAAAAGATAATTTTTATTAAAATCCATATCCACTATTATAATAATCATCTACATGTCCTTAGACTCCAAGTTTATCTAAGAAACTTTAGTCTTGCCCCACTGTTTTTCTTAAGTTCATCAACGGATCCTCTTCAACATGCATTATTTGTCCCTTGCTATATTATTACTGCCATTGCCGAGTCACAAGTTCTTTAGGTTCAATATATCAAATACCTTTGAGCAAAGAAGCAAGGAAAAAGATTATTTCTATCAAAGACATATCTATTATTAGAATATCAACAGTGACCATGTTTATCCAAGTAATCGTATGTGCATGTTTCAGTTTCATTAAGAGTAGGGGAAGTTTAAGGGAAACCTGTGGGAAGAAGACAAGGAAAGTTAAGTAAATTCCATTCCCCTAAATGTTAACTAGGTATTTATGCAAAACTTTAGTGTTGGAGTGTATTCTGTCATTTATAATAAGTGGGTTGTGAAAGTTATCCTTAAAATTAAATGATTGGTCAAAAGTGAGGATACTGTCAAAATCTATTATGGAAGTTATCCTTAAAATTAAATGATTGGTCAAAAGTGAGGATACTGTCAAAATCTATTATGGTTTTGCATTTCTGAATTCTTTACATTGGATATTTGTTAACGCATTTTTTCATCTTCAATGTTTATATATTTTTATTTTGATGCAAACTATTTAACTAAAATTCAGAGGTGGTAACGCTAGCAAAATAATTGAGGGATGATAATTGTTAGTGAAAATATAGATGAGTGAGGTTATTTGCAATCTACCCATTTACCACTAAGCATAACAATATAATGGTTGAACAATTCATTACTAAGTTCTCATGAAAGATAGTGTTCATTTGTTCCAATCTTCTAAGATTTTTTTGTAAACAATCATGTAACTGCGTTTTATAGTAAATACTAACCATTTTCCCTGATATGGATCTTCGGATTGTTGTATCTTTCCTTCGTATACACTAACAAGTCCTTTATTTCAAAAGGAACAACATATATCCAAGAACCTTCCTGTAATCAGAAACATAATAAATATATATAGTTAAAAATATGAATTATATAGAAATATGCATCAAGGGAAATCTAAATTAAGCAATGCTGAAAAATTGTCCTGTATTTTCTATTTCTAAAATGACTATGATGAAAATCTGATAGCAGCTTTCATAGACAACTTAGATTTGAACCAGGTACATTACATTACATATTTCCTTCTTTTATAGAGCTACATATCTATTCATTTCATGTATCAATCTGCATATATAGATGAGGTTGAGTAGTATATTAGTAATATTTTTTCCTTCTAAATTATTAGAAGTCGACAGGTCAAGAATATTTCACTAATGATATAGAATCTTCCAAAAAGAAATATGATTTTGATAATGTAAGTCAATACACTTAGTATTATTTTTCTTTTTCTTTTCTCATATTTGTATTTATTTTTTATTTATTTATATTTTTTTGTGAAATGAAAGGAAATTATAGATGTCATACCAAAAACATTATATGTACAACCTCCATCCAATTATAACTATGATCAATACTAATACTTATAGTAACACCTCAACACCTCTCTCCATAATCAAGGGGATAACCTGACAAGACAAAACTCTCAAATTCTCTTTTGCTGTATATTGCACAATACTTATTTTTCAAATGCTCTTTTGATGTTGTTGCTTCTTTCACCTTTATCACTTTGTATTACGTTTTATTATTGTTCTCTTGATTCTTCACATTAACCGTGCAAAAAACTTTTGTTTATATCTTATTAGTATGCTAACTAAATAGATAAAATAAACATGCCTTTATTTTCTAGAATGTGTAGAATATATTTTTAATGTTTGATTTTTTAAAAGGATGCATTATATATTGTCATATTCTTATCTAACATATGAGTAGAATGACTTTTAATAATATAAGGTTTTTTAACCATTTGTGTTTTAGATGTTTTCAAAACAAATGAAAGCTTGAAGTTTAGTTAACGTTATTTCTGGCTTGTGTTCTATTTGTCAATGACTCATTATCAATCCCGTGAAGCTTCTAATTAACTTTTGACACTTTGCACCCAAAACTTCCACCACCTCCTTGATGTATAAATTAAAAAAAATTAAATACACCGAGAAGATTAATTGAGAGAAGTAGCTAGCTTAATTACTATTATAGGTTGTCATAGTAATCCTTCTTAATGTAATACCAAATTCTTTAATATCTTTTTGAGTAGTATCTTTTGTTGCTACAACTTTCACCATTATCACTTTGGATTGCCTATTTCTTTTCGCTTTAATATTGATTTTTTGATTCTTCATATTAATTGTGCAACAATCTTTTCCTGCCACCTCATTAACATGCTAACTATTATGTTATACTGAAACACAGGGCTCGCTATTGGTCACTGGTGACAATAAAGATGAAATTTGTTCCTTGGATAACATTACTCATTGCAAGAGAAATTTGTTGGAATCTGGTGTCGAGCACCCAGTTTCAGTAGACATGATTTCTCCGCAAATGTCCAGCAACAAAAAGCAAAAACAGATCAAGATTGAAAAGGGATAATTAGAATATTCTACAGAGAGTTCAAGCTCCTTTTTGATAAATCTATATTTGATACATAATGTCTGAAACTTATATTTAGTATTTTGGTCTAAAACCGTATTTAGTAAACTTTTGTATGCACTACATAATTTTTTGTGGTTTTGCGTTGAGAAACCTAACTACTTGATATGATTATGATAGATATTTTGTTTATCAATATATTGATAATTATTGTCTTGGTTCATAGATATATATACTTGACATGTATCTCTAGGTGCTTTAAATATTTCGTTTGGAACTAAACTTTATGTTGCATACTAATTACTTAGTATAGCAAAATATTATAACATTAATCATATAGACATAAGATATTTTATCTATTTTGTTATGATAATAGGGAAATTATATTTTGATTCTTTTTTACAGTTTAATAGTAAGTTAAACATATATGCAGCATAGGTTGTATCATTTCTGGTATCTTATATATTATTACTGTTTTATTTTGTATTTTTTTACTACATCAATTTTGATATATTAAACAAATCCGTGCATCGCACGGGCCTGAAACTAGTTAAGACTTAAGAGTCCTTCCTACCTCTCACAGCTGTTGGGCAAAGAACAAACGGCTCATAGTCCTAAGTCAATTGAGGTTGTATATGCAAAAAAGTAAAAAGGATTGTAATTCTCCCTAAAATCTGGGCGCAAATTGTTAAAGAGTAGTGACGCACCGCTTGGCCCTCTCTCGCGTCCCAACACGCGAACGTTTCATGCTTTGGTTTTTCCGCCCTGCGCCCTGTCACACGTGGACTCGGATCTGACGTTATAAATACCCGACCCGAAATATCTTTGGATATTGCGAGATAATCCTAACCCGGCCCAAAATCTTTATTAGGGTCGATTTCGAGCGTGTTGGTTAAAGTCCACTCAACATTATCAAATAAATCTTTTTCGCTCGGAATTTAGATGTTGGAGAATCTATGTCAACACAAGTATGAATCTCTTATACTATGAAGTCTCCTTGGCTTAGTATAAACTTCGATTACTTGAATAATCAAATATATAATGTTTTGGTATGATTTGATTTATTTGTAAGTAAAGCTCTTTATTTGATTGTTTAATATGTTTCCTTGGACAATAGTGATAGTATTTGCTTTCAAGGTCGGATCGGCGTTATTGTTGCTGAAGAGTAGCTTTTGCTATGCCATTTCTGGTTCGATGAAGATAACTTGTAATTGAATTTTTGTTATCGATTCTGTATGTTGAAGGAACTTTTGTCAGGTTGTTTTTTTTTTTGGATTTGAGTTGTTTTGAAGTAGTTTAGTGTAGGTATTTACTCTTTATCTCCCAAAAGAATTTTCTGTAGGAGCTATAGAGATGGAGTGCATTAAAGGCTTATAGTGTTGCAAGTAGTTTCTGAGAAGAGTAGCGTTTCTATTGTAAAATGAAGGGTGAACTTGTTTGTGTATTTTGGTTCAAAGGTTTTAGGGTAAATTTAAGAGATGTGGTTGGCTTTGAATGGTCAGTTTCCCTTAAAAGGACTGGCTTTTGTAAAATCTGCGTTCATGAGTTTTTTGCTGGACAATAATTTGTTTCTTTCCGTGGTACAAGTACTCAATGGTTTTTTCTTCTTTTGAGCTGAACTGTTGTTGATTTTTACTTGTGTCAATCTCTGTTAATTGTATCACCTGGTGGATTCTGAATATTTCTAAATGGTCCGAGACGATACTTCTTTTTGATCAAAATTAAGATTATCCACGTGTCGGTGTTCTTGAGATTGATTATTTCATACTTCAGCTTTGCCTCTGAAAGATCTACCTGTTCCTTCTGGAGATGTGTTCTTGAGATTGATTATTTCATACTTCAGCTTTGCCTCTGAAAGATCTACCTGTTCCTTCTGGAGATGAGCAAACATCCGAGTCATTCATTTGAATCAGCTTTGCCTCTGAAAGATCTACCTGTTCCTTCTGGAGATGAGCAAACATCCGAGTCATTCATTTGAAAATCAACATAACTTTGAAATATCCACTACTTAATCAAGGAAAAAGACCGTAGCAGCCCAAATTTTGATCAAACGGATCATTTGGGTTATATGGGTCGGGTCGGGTAACCCGTTTAATAAACGAGTCAGATCACATTGACACATTTATTAAACGGATCGGGTCGGGTCACACTTAAACGGGTCGGGTCAACTATAACCCGACCCGACCCGTTTGCCACCCCTACAAGGACCGAGAGAGGGGAAGGATGTGAGCAGTAAAATTCAAAGATTAATTACTTTTTTAGGGCCACTTCGGCAATGTCTCCTAAATTATGTTTTGGTCTAAACTAATTTAATTTTGGACCAACGGTAACGGATCAAAAGAAAACTAATTTAAGGGGCTGTTTGGTTCGTTTTTTAACTCGGTGGAAAAGTTTTACACCGCCTCCACATCAGATTTTTCGTGGCCACGTAGGATATAAGCTTTCCGTCGGTTTTTTTCCCATCTTTGGTTCGCTAGAGTTGAAGAAGGAAAACTCAGTGAAAATCGCCGCCACATCAGATTTTTTTTCTCTCCCCCAATTCCTTCCTCAACCTCGTGTCGACGAAAACTGTAGCCACGTCAGCTTTTTTGCCATATAAACAAAAGTTTTCCCTTTTTTCCATGCGAACCAAATACAAGAAAAATAAATACATTGGTTTCCCACTATTTTTTTGTGCAAACCAAAGCGAAACAATCTATTTCTTGGAAAAGTTTGGAAAACTCAAAACTTATGTTTTTGTACATGGAAATGCATTTCCCTATATCTAGGAAACGAACTAAGCAACCCCTAAAGCAAAAACTTAGCGTAATAAAATAAATTTAAATCTTGCTTTACGTTTTGGTATGAGCTAGGACATACTTAAATTGATTTTGTTTGAATAAACCAATTAAGCGGAGTTGCCAAGCATATCCTTATTATAAGCCAAATCAATTAAGCGAAGTTGCCAAGTACACTCTTATTATAAGCCACCTAGCTTGGATCAGACATTTTCTACCCTTAATCTTTATTACATGTTACTTTTTGCCATGATTCTTTTTCTTGAGCATTTAAGAGAATTTGACCAGAACTTAACCTCGACCCCTTTATGTCTTTGCTTGTGCACTCAAACCATCTAGCAAGAAGTTTTAGCTTGTATGGTGATTAAAACATCTTAAGTCTATTCTCTCTCTCTCTCCATATATATACACACACACTCTCTCTCTCTCTCTCTCTCTCTCTCTCTCTCTTAGTATATAAGTATACTCTCTCTTATATATGTATAATATATGTATAAGTATATATAAGTATACAGTGTATACTCTCTTATATAAGTATATTCTCTCTTATATATGTATATATCTTATATATATATATATATATATATCCAGATTCACTGGAGTGAATCCAGATTCACTGGAGTGAATCCAGATTCACTGGAGTGAATCCAGATTCACTGGAGTGAATCCAGATTCACTGGAGTGAATCCAGATTCACTGGAGTGAATCCAGATTCACTGGAGTGAATCCAGATTCACTGGAGTGAATCCAGATTCACTGGAGTGAATCCAGATTCACTGGAGTGAATCCAGATTCACTGGAGTGAATCCAGATTCACTGGAGTGAATCCAGATTCACTCCAGCGAAAGCTTGGATGGTTAGGATGGTTTTTAATGAATTGTTGAAGAAATAAATGCATGTGCTGTAATTTCGAAGAAATAAACGCATGAGTGAATCTAGAATTCACTGCAGTGAATCCAGATTCAGTATGTGAGGTGTTTGTTTTTTACCATAAAAATCGTAACTTTTTGCTGTAAAATGTGAAATCTTATCATGGTTTAAAATTTTATAGCTTGTTTTTTACCATAAGTTTCTTATTCTTTTTGTTTAAAATTTTATAGCTTGTTTTTTACCATAAGTTTCTTATTCTTTTTGTTTAAAATTTTATAGCTTGTTTTTTACCATAAGTTTCTTATTCTTTAATATAATCCGGATTCACTGGAGTGAATCCAGATTCACTCCAGCGAAAGCTTGGATGGTTAGGATGGTTTTTAATGAATTGTTGAAGAAATAAATGCATGTGCTGTAATTTCGAAGAAATAAACGCATGAGTGAATCTAGATTCACTGCAGTGAATCCAGATTCAGTTATGTGAGGTGTTTGTTTTTTACCATAAAAATCGTAATTTTTTGCTGTAAAAGGTGAAATCTTTTCATGGTTTAAAATTTCATAGCTTGTTTTTTACCATAAGTTTTTTATTCTTCAATATAATCCAGATTCACTGGAGTGAATCCAGATTCACTGGAGTGAATCCAGATTCACTGGAGTGAATCCAGATTCACTGGAGTGAATCCAGATTCACTGGAGTGAATCCAGATTCACTGGAGTGAATCCAGATTCACTGGAGTGAATCCAGATTCACTGGAGTGAATCCAGATTCACTGGAGTGAATCCAGATTCACTGGAGTGAATCCAGATTCACTGGAGTGAATCCAGATTCACTGGAGTGAATCCAGATTCACTGGAGTGAATCCAGATTCACTGGAGTGAATCCAGATTCACTGGAGTGAATCCAGATTCACTGGAGTGAATCCAGATTCACTGGAGTGAATCCAGATTCACTGGAGTGAATCCAGATTCACTGGAGTGAATCCAGATTCACTGGAGTGAATCCAGATTCACTGGAGTGAATCCAGATTCACTGGAGTGAATCCAGATTCACTGGAGTGAATCCAGATTCACTGGAGTGAATCCAGATTCACTGGAGTGAATCCAGATTCACTGGAGTGAATCCAGATTCACTCCAGCGAAAGCTTGGATGGTTAGGATGGTTTTTAATGAATTGTTGAAGAAATAAATGCATGTGCTGTAATTTCGAAGAAATAAACGCATGAGTGAATCTAGATTCACTGCAGTGAATCCAGATTCAGTTATGTGAGGTGTTTGTTTTTTACCATAAAAATCGTAACTTTTTGCTGTAAAATGTGAAATCTTATCATGGTTTAAAATTTTATAGCTTGTTTTTTACCATAAGTTTCTTATTCCTTTTTGTTTTTTATTTTTGCAGATTTGCTATTGTTTGATAACGAGTTTCAGGTCACTAAATCTGGATTCAATTCAGTGAATCTGGATTCACTCCAATGAATCGAGCTTCAATATAATCCAGATTCAATGGAGTGAATCCAGATTCACTGGAGTGAATCCAGATTCACTGGAGTGAATCCAGATTCACTCCAGCGAAAGCTTGGATGGGAGGAGCTCGGATCTGGGTTGTTTGAAGGTGGCGAAGGAGATGGAGAGGAGGTTGACGGCGTCGGGTCTGAGGGAGCGTCTTCGGTTCGTCAGAGCGGCTTCGGTTCGTCGGAGGGAGCTCAGGGGCAGTGGAGTTGGAGGAGCTCGGTGAGGAGTTAGTGGTGTTTGTGGTGGTGAGAGAGAGGAAGAGAGAGGGGGCTGGTTCAAACTTTTGGGAAATGGAGGAGAGAGAGAGAGAGGAGAACGTGAGAGGAAAGAGCTGCTGTGATTTTGGAGAGAGAGAGAGTTGCATGGGGAAATGGAGAACTATGTAATTAATTGTTCCAAGTTTACCTTTTTTCACATTAATGATGTGTATTAAATTTGTCTATATTTACAATTCTGTCATCGAAATGTAGGCCATTGGATTAGATAGATTGGAGGGTTAGGATTGGTTTTTAGTTCTCTAGGTTTTTATTAGAACCTCTCCCTATATATATATATATATATATATATTATATACTATATATTAGTATATATATATATATATCAATATATATTATATATATATATTATATATATATATATATATTATAATAATAGTATAATAAAAATTATATCAATATATATTGGTAAGAGAACCGGGAAAAATTGTACTCAAGACCCGAATAAAGTTGAGCTCCAAAGCAAAGCTTGGTAGTGTGGGATAGTGGTCTAAATCTCGTAAGATACCCTTACATCTACATTGGAGTTTGTGAGGGTTGTTGAGTACAGCTCTATCTTCGAGAGATGATAGATTTAAGTAGGGACTATAGATTAGGCCACTCACAGGTAGCCGAGTTGCTTTAAGCAGACTTGGGTAGCGCAAGGTTCTCCATATTTCAGACCGGTCTCTCTCTCTCTCTATAATATAGAGTATTATATATATTATATACTATATATATAATATATAGGATATTACCCTATTAACCAACCACAACACACAGAATCTTTTGATGATCCACACACAACACATACGATAAACTTATATGTACAGCATATAAGTATATTTATATAAGAGTATATAATATATATAGTATATATACACATATATTATACATATATCTATATGATATATATATATATATATATATATATATATATATATATATATATATTATATATCATATATATAAAAAATATATATATATAACTATAGGTATACAATATAATTATATATATATATATACCTATATATCATATAATTTATATTTTGTTTATGATATATGTTTGGGTGTAGTAATAAAATTCTGTTTTTGGAGTAAAATATTCTATAAGTATTTTTAATTTTGTTTGTTTCTATAAAATCTATAATTATTTTATATTATTTTATTATTTTAATTTCTATAATTTTTTATATTTGTAAATTACATAATTACAAATGATTAATAATATAATTTTTTATCAAAAATGTGTTTGTTTTTGCTTTGTTTTCTTGAAAAATATAAAAAAAATTTAAAAAAGTAAAAAATCAAAAAAACCCGGCCCGCTCAAGCCTGGGCCCGGCTCGGGGCAACCAGGTCCGGGCTCCGGTTTTGCCCGGCTTGGGCCCGGTTTTCTGGGCCGGCCCGACGCGGATGTACCTATTATAGACTTTAAGTTGTTTAAAATTAGCACTATAGCAACATCAATTATTCAAACCTAAAAGTTTTCATTTGGAAGTTCTCCTATACCATTCACATGCTAATTTTATAAATTTCTAACTATTAAAATTACCGAGTATAATATTAAATTTATCCAACTTTGCTTTTCAAATAGAATCAGAATATGTTTAAATTAGAATTTGGGTAGGATTAATAGCAAATTTAACAAATACTAGTGGCTAAAAAGCTATGAAATCAATATGCGAATTTTATCTATGAACTTTCCTATGAATTTTTTTGAATATTATATACGAAATTTCGTATGAAAATTTTTACATTCCTAACAGAACAAAAACTGCAATTTAGCCTTCTCAAACCCAGAACATAAGCTGCTACATTTGGTTTGACATGGGAATGCTGGACCAACGCCAAGTTTGGGCCCTCACTCCTCAAGGCCTCAGCCCTTGAACTCTCCAGTCCCTGTTTCGAGCTCCTGAGTGGGTCCCACCCCAAATCCCTCCTCCAACAAACAAACAGAACCCGGCTATCAACAAAATACGCGGAAAAAGATTAAAAAAAAAAGAAGAAAAGAAAAGAAAAAAGAAATCGAACCAGAGGACAGTTTCCGTCTGCAGTTCAAGCGTTCGTCGAAATGCCAGACAAAGCCACGGAGTCGGCAATGGAGTCAGCGACGGGCCCACACTTCAGCGGCCTTCTCTCCGCCTCTCGTCTTCATCCGCTCCCTCCTCTCCCTCCTCAGCCAAGGCCGCCGCCGCCCAAAACGCCGACGAGGATTCGATGGAGGCCCCGAAGCAGCCCTTTGTGATCGGTGATAAACCCTAACCCTAACCCTAACCCTAATTAGGGTTTTTGATTTCTTCATAGTGTTTGATTTGGGAATTGGTTGGTGTTTTTAGGGGTTTCGGGAGGGACGGCGTCGGGGAAGACGACTGTGTGCGATATGATCATTCAGCAGCTTCATGATCATCGCGTTTTGCTCGTCAATCAGGTCGAAAGATCGATTCTTTCCTTGAATTTTTTGAGCTTTGGATGCTTTATTTAGAATTAGAACCAGTGATTAAGTGAGCATCGTGGACTAAAAAAAACACACTTTTATAAGCAAAGGGTCTATTTATGATTTTACTTGTCGACTACCTTCGCATTTAGCAGTTGAGGGGGTAAATCACAGAAGATCTCCTTCAAGATTTGTATGGTTGATGGAAAGTCCCCTTTTAAGTTTTCAAATACAGCACTAATGCCGTCATTTTCAATTTCTAATCAAATATCCTTTTTTCAATATTATATAGTGATTATCATGGAAATCCCCTTCGTTATGAAATCCACTAACATTTATTTTTCATTACAAAACATCATGCTGTTAAAAAAACTATCAAAACCCAGTTATAGTCTAAAACTACCCTCTTCTTCTTCCTCTTGACATACCTTCCCTTTCTTCCAAATGCAAGGTACGCCGGGGATAACACATACCCAAGGGCCTGTTTGGATTTGTAGGGGGTGAAGGGAAGTTAAGGGAAACTGAGAGAAGGGAAGGGAAGGGAAGGGAAGGGAGTTCCCTTCCCCTTGGTTACACCCCAATTTGGGGGGTAACAAATTTTATACTATTAGGGGGTGAACCAAGGGGAACTAGGGTGAATTAACTTCACCTCCTAAGTGTTCCCAAACAAGGTGAATGGAAGTGAATGGTTCCCCTAACTTCCCTTCACCAAGGTGAATGGAAGTGAATGGTTCCCCTAACTTCCCTTCACCCTCATTCCCCTCAATCCAAACAAGCCCCAAGGTTTTAAATATCGGTTATCGGGGATTTATCGGACGGCCAAAATCCTTATAGGATAGCGGAAATCTGGGATAATATCGGGGAGAAGTAGTATTTATCGGAGCAATATACTGGATGGTGTATATATATAATATAACAACTAAAAAATATAATCTAACCATGCTTAATGAAATATAAACACACCAAAACAGAAAAGCAAAGTATGTACAATTTATTCACTAATTTCTTATATAAATCTCTGTTACAGGAAAAACAGAAAAACAAAATATGATAAAAGAATAGTTATATAACTGATATTACTCAAAAGAGAAAGTACGTGCGTGAAGGAATTACAAGAGAAGGAAAGCTCACAACATGTGTATATAGCCATGTTTCCGGACAAAAAAAAAACATGGTTGACAGAAGGTAGGCGAGCGATGAAGTTCAAGGTTGAAGTTCACGAAGGCGAGCGACGAAGAGGCGCAGAGAACATAAGATGGAGATAACGGAGGAAGCGTCCTACGAGAAAAAGAACAGCCGCTAGAGACGAAGTTAGGGTTTGAAGGTCGGATTCACAAAGTTTCGGGTTTTAAGTTTTATATTATTAACAAAACGGGTCGGGTCGGGTTTTAAAAACTCAACAACTCAACTCAAAATGCTTGACCGATAATCCCGATAATTTAGCCTTACTTATCGGCCGATAAGTACCGATAACGCCGATAACTCGCCGATAATCTCCCCAAAACAATAACCGATTACAAAACCAACTTCTCCTAGCAGAGAGCTCAAAAATCCGATAACTCGGCCGATAATATCGATTATCGGCCGATATTTAAAACAATGCACATACCTTCCCTTTCTTCCAAATGCAAGGTACGCCGGGGATAATAGGCTGATGACTCCCAAGAGCTCTTATCGACGGAGTCGTTTGGCACCTCGATGTCGACTCATCACATCCTGGGGTTGAAGAAGGTCCCAAGGGTTCGGTTGTTCGCCGATGAAAGTGGTACGTGGGTTGGGTTTAGAACGTCGTGAGACAGTTCGGTTCCTATCTACCGTTAGTGTTAAAGGGAGAACTGCGAGGAGCCAACCCTAGTACGAGAGGACTGGGTTGGGTCAACCTATGGACCTATGGTGTACCGGTTGTTATGCCAATAGCAGCCGGGCAGCTAAGTTGGTATGGAAGAACTGCTGCGCCGTGGGAAATCCTTCTCTATACAAGTTCTTGTACGAGGTTTTTGAACAGAACTTCGATAGGCGAGAGGTGTAAGCACCGCGAGGTGTGGGAGATAGGTTTTCCAATAGCTTGAAGAAGAATAGAAGCTTTATTCAAGAGCTATGTTACCTGGGTACTTCATTATTGAAGCTGGACTCGTACCGGACACGTACCCGACACTTTCCCGTACCCAAACTTCATGGACACTTCTTGAATATATGCATGCATTTATTACAACATGTACTCAATTGTACGATATATGTATTAATTTAAAACACTTGTCAAAGACTTCCTGGACGTAGAGCTTACACTTCACATCCGTCTTTTGAAACTAATGGGATACGGGTTGGGTTCGTTTCAGTCCATACCTAAATTCAAAACTATATAGTTATTGGGTCGTTTAGATGTCTAGTAAAAAAATAAGTAGTTTACAATTCACGATAATCAATATGATAAAATAAACTCAAAAATGTGATCGAATTTTTATTTAATTCTAATGACACATGAAGCGGAAAAAAATTATCTACTGTACATGATTAATTCAATATATATATAGTCGTGTCCCCGTACCCAACATTTTACAGTTTTGCTGTGTCCCCTACCCGTACCCGCACCCGTACCAGTACCCGTGCCCGTTTCCATGCAACTTAGTTCAAGGGTATTTTAGAGAAAATGGTAGACATTAAATGGGTTTTAACTTTTAATAGTTTTTGTAAAAATAAGGGGTGTTGTAATGAAAAAATAACATTAACTGTCAAACCTGAAGGTGGCCTTCATAAAAATTATCCTATAATATATGAGAGTGCAAACAATTGTCATATCCCATGATATTAGCTTTTTTTATTAAGATTTTAAAAGCAGCACTTACGCCTTCATTTTCAATTTCTAATAAAATATCATTTTTTATAATATTATATTATCATGGAAACCCCCTTTAGATTTAACAGTTTATTATGAAACCCGCTAGTGTCATTTATTGCTTGAAAAAACTATTAAAACCCACTTTATTCTAAAATTTCCCTCTTCTTCTTCCTCTTGATGTCCTTTCCCTTTCTCCCAAGGGCATGATATAAATTAGAAGCTAAAATTTACACCAAATAAAGGCTAAAATCAAAGGCTTGAAGAGCTTATCTCGATCTTCTATTAATTTTCTTTGTTACTAGTCATTGTTACTTTGGTTTGATGTGAAGAGAGGGGAGATAGGTTTTCCAATAGCTAAAGGAAGAAGAGAAGCTTTATTGAGGCGGTATTTTAGAGAAAATGGCAGACATTAAATGGGTTTTAAGTTTTAATAGGTTTCGTAACAGCAAGGGATGTTGTAATTAAAAAAATAACGTTAGGAGATTTCATATTCAACTATCAGACTTGAAGTGAGGCTTCATAATAATTACCAGGGGTGGAGCCATATAGGGCCCAACAGGATGCTGACCCCCTCTTGGATATAAAAAACTAGGGTAATTGCATTTAAATACTCTATAGTTTTCGCTACTTTGCACTTATATACCCTCACTTGTTTTTGGCATCACTTAAATACTCTAGAGTTTTTAAAATTTGCACTTATATACCCTCACCTTTTTTGGCAGCACTTATATACTTAAAGTTTTAAAAATTGCACCTAAATACCCTAAAGTATTTAAAAATTCGCACTTAAATATCCTAAAGTTTTTAAAACTTGCACTTAAATACCCTTAGTTATGCAAACATGTGATTTCCCCCCTAAAAATTCTCTGTAACACTCGTTCTAATTTTCACCTTTGGGCCCTATATGGCAATTTTCATGTTTGCATATAGAGTATTAATGTACTGATTTTAAACAAAAAACAAGTGAAGGTATAAAAGTGCAAAGTGAGTGAAACTATAAGGTATTTGAGTGTTATTTAACCTATTTCCCCCTAAGTATTAAATTCATAGGTTTAATTTTGTCATATGAGGACTGTTTGGATTCACAGCTGAATCGAAGAATGGATTTGAGTTAACTCCCTTTTGCCATAGGAAAGAACGAGGATCAAGCCTCTTCTTGACAAACAAAAGTACATGAATAAAAATGACTCCAATGTACCTATACCCCAGTTCAAAGTCTTGTTATTGGGTTTTATTATTTTTGGCACCCCCTTGACGAAGTTCCTGGCTCCGCCACTGATAATTACCCTGTAATATATGGGAGTACAAACAATTGTCATATTGCATGATATTAGCTTTTACATCCTAAATGGACTTTGTAGAAATTAAAGGAGAGAGGCGGTGAAGTGTCACTTTTAAAACCTTAGGGAGTTTTTCTAATAATCACTTTAGGAAGATTTTCTGTATTTAGCAAACGAAAAAAAAAGAAAAAGAAAAAGAAAACATTAGAATCTTTGGCAACTAATCAGAGCACTGCTATTACTGAGCTCTGTTGTTTTCTAGATAAGTGATGTGCTAATGGGTGTAAACTTAGGTGACACAAATGATGGAAAACTTGCTCATTAGTGGAAGTCATGAGCATGGTGCCAAAGCAGTGCATACCCTTAAAGGCTCAACAAGCATGGAAGAACTATTATATATTGTCTCCGGGATGTAGGTAGAAGGACTTATGCAATTGGACGGTCTTGCGTTTGAAGGTGTTGAAGCGGAGATATTCAAGCTGACTGGAGGACTCTTGCTCAATATTGACATGGATTTTTTGATGGTGCGGATCACTCAGAGATCAGCATACAAGTTTCTTGCACTTAGATCTGGAATGAGCAAGCAGGGTAATAAAAACAATGGATAAGAGCTAAAATGTGTGCAAAGGGCGGGTCTATAACATTCAGGACAATAAGCATGGTGTATGGATAACATTATGTACACTTTTTTTTCAGAAGTCTGTCTTTTAACTTAGTTAAACAAAGTGACTAAGTCTATTTTCTTATATTAGCGACCAAGTCTAGGCCATGTCAGCAGTACATGCCGAAACTTGGTATGCTGTCTTTTTTTTGTTTTTAAAATGAATGTGTGGTTTCGATCCCCAGGCTTATGAGTTTAACTTTGGATATATGGAAGGCCTTTCAAAGAATTATGGATTTTGGAAGTAGCAGTTATATCAATTTAAAAACTACTTTGTTTCTTCCTGTGATATCCTTTATTTTTTAGTCCTACGCTTCACAAAGGAGCTCTACATTGGGAAATGTGGATGACGACATTGATGAAACATTGATCTGATTATATCACCGTAATCCTCTTGTATGCTTGCTGTCTGGTATACTGTGCTCAAAATTTGTGCAAACAAGATATTGGCATGCTTTTTGGAGTCTTTGATTCAGGATTATGCGTGCTGCCTGATCTGGTCTGTCTCCTATATATGACTTTTAAATAAATCCAGGACTCATTTTATCGAGGTCTGACTGCTGAAGAATCTGAACGTGCGCACGAATATAATTTTGATCATCCAGGTAATTTGTTTTCAACTACAAATTTGAATTTATTTCTAGTGGTTTATGAAAATATGATTATTTTGGAGGGAATGACGAGTCTTCATTTTACTGAGGTTTCTTTTTTCCTCCTACTTTTTGTCTTTTTAGATGCCTTTGATACAGAGCAACTTCTCAAGTGTATGGGTGAACTCAAAAGTGGGCAATCTGTTAATATTCCGATATACGACTTTAAAAACCACAGGCGTTGCTCTGAAAGTTTCCGAAAGGTATCCCTTGAAACAAACAATAAAAAAATTTTCATTTTACTTCCAAAGATGTCCATTGTTTTAATTTTTTCATTTCTTTCAGTTTGTGGACACTCAAATTTAATGAACTGTCATTTACCAGTTAAGCAGCCCTGAAGAAGAAGATTTAATGTCGTGCGATTATGTTAACATGGATTTCTTGTATGTTATTTACTGTATAAGAAATTGATTCTTTAGTTTGAGAGTGGGAATTTTTAGAACTTGTTCTATCGTGTTTCATTATGAAGAAACTGTTGTGGGTCATGTTAACAGCTATCTGGCAAACCATTTGGTAGGTATAGACTTGTCAAAATTCGATAGGATTGAAGAACCTCCAGGAAGGGATCAAATAATTCTTCTTGAGAAAGGAGAAGAAAGTAGGTAGATAGTAGAGGGAAGATCAGAAGAAGTTAGGTAGTAAAGGGAAGAGGACAAGTCTCAGAAGAGAAGAGGACTGTGTTGTTAGATACAACAAGTCCAAACCAAAATATCACAGGAAAGTAATAAAAAAGTAGCTAAAGAATATGATACTTGACTCAAAGCAGATCTTTTGTTCATATTTACAACATGAGTGATTTACCAGGCCCAAAGGGGCTCCATTACTCATGGGTTTAACCGTTTAAGAATTAAGATAGTGAAACACTGAAACTTGGAACTGACGACTTGACTAAATCATAGAGAGAACTTGTTCTTCTGTTTCTACAGGATTATTTAATTTTTTTTTCATGCATTCCGTTAAAGCCCCACTTTTAGTAATCAATTTCTTGGAGCTTATTGGAGGAACATTGTCAGTGGACTCTTAAATAAGAATAACAGTTAGATAACCTTGTCAAGTGCCACTTCCTATTAAAATCTCAGAAATTATATTAAATACTTTGTTTATTTTAGTTTTCCATGATTTATAGTATACATATAGAGTTGTAAATCCTTATAACATGGTAAAAAAGTTATATATGCTGTGATTTTCCATCCTTTTAGGTCAATGCATCAGATGTCATTATTTTGGAGGGGATTCTGGTTTTCCATGATCAACGTGTTCGTGAAATGATGGACATGAAGATTTTTGTTGACACAGGTTCTTTTCTTCTCCTGTCTTACTTTTTTCATATATGACTGAAAACCCTGAAGCATTTCAGTTGTGTCATGTCATAAGTTGTGCCATGTCATACTATCTTATCATGACATAAGTACGGGTGTTGTGTTTAATTTAAAAAATATAAATTCACTAAACTGTTGGAACATATACATGTAATCTTTAATGATTACATAACACATACTGTGAGCCTATTTTAATACCTTTTGCTGTGGGCTATTGAGAAGCCAGCCTTCTACACCTCCTTCATGATCAGAGGATATCTGGTCACCTCTGCCTTCTGGACCTCTTTATTGGAGAGGGACCTGTATTGTGATAGAACTCTAATCATGTTTTTTTATGCAAATTTATTTTTGAGTCAATTAAGAATTGTGTAAGCGGACTGGGTCAGATCCAGCAAAAAAGGGATAAATGCATGGAATTTGTTAACTTTCAGAAGAGATGTGCTTAAACAAGGTAAAAGGAGAAAGAGGGATCTGCACAACATCATATCTTGAGATACTAAAATTGTGCATCATGCATGTTGATATTTATATCCACAGGTGTTTAAAATGTTTTTTCATTTTTTTTCAATATTATATATCTGAAAAAGATGAATAACAAGAGTTCGTTGATATTTGCATGGATATCAGGTGGGATTTTTTGGAGCTTAATTTTAGTTACTTAGACTTCCTGATAGTCATCTGTTGGCTACACATACATGTAATTCTACTTACTTAAAATTCTTTTTATAATTTGTACATAGATGCCGATGTTAGGCTTGCCCGAAGAATAAGGCGTGATACAGTTGAGAGAGGTAGAGACGTGTGCTCGGTGCTTGAACAGGTATGCAAATTTTCTGTTAACTTTTCTGGTATTGGATCTTATTTTGCTTTACTTGCAAGCTTTAAGTTGCAAGCTTAATGTCACTAGAAAGTTAGTCATCATGTTTGAGCCAGACAGTTGCTAATTAGATTCCTGCACATTGCTTCAGAAAATCAGTCATAGCTAGAGCTATAGCAGTCAATGCATTGCAAAAAATCCACCATTCCAAAGATAACAATGAGAGATATCATCTTATTCATGGCTTCAAGTTCTGCCATCTTGAGGGTCAAAGTCTGTAAAAAGTTGATGCGTGATGCAGGGCAGATTTTATTATAGCATTTTGTTATGCAGCTTCTGAGATTAGGTTAGTTTTAGAATCTTAGATACGAATCATAGTTTGGTTCCTTCCTGAAATTGCACCTCCTGTACTGTTTAAGGAGAAGATTGAGGATATTTTGGATGTCCAGCCTTTTTGTAATTCAGGGTTGAGCTGTTTGAAGTTATTTGGTCAAATGGCATGGTCATCCTCCTTCTACTGCTAGTGGGATTACTGAGGATGAATTTCATCATCTTGATTCTCATTGCTAGAAAGTTGTTGGAATTTTAGACTTTGAAGAGTTAAGCCCCTTTCTATGGTGCAATGGATGATTCAATTTGAATCTTATTAGATTTCTTTAGAATGTGATTTATTTAGTCTCGTCCAGTTAGATTTGTTAAGGAGATTTTATTTGATTTTATAGTTATTTATGTTATTGGATGAATATAGGATGAGTCTTTTTATCCAGTTTGATTCCTATTGAAAAACTGTCTATAATCATAGTTGTTGTTTTTCCTGTTCTGCTAGATGATGTATATTGAGATTAAATGTATAATTTCCTTATTTCTTGAACTTATTTCTATAAGCTTTTACATCCTAAATCTACCAAATACCATAGGCGATAATGCGAGTAATTTGCTATTTTAATTCTAATAGTATATAATGCATATCTCCTCAAGGATGTAGTGGTTTTGCAGCAGTAGGATGTCCAAGTATTGCTCATGGTTGTTTAAGACAATTATCAGGAGAAAAGCTAGTTGAAAAACACTAAATAGCTAAAGCTAGTTGAAAAACACTAAATAGCTTTGTGGGTAGGGAGATGTAGCTTACTTATCTCAGAGTTTGAGCTTGTCTATTACAACTAGGCCTTCCACACTAGTATATCCTCTTTGTGAAGAATGGACAGAGAACTTCATCTAAACTTTTGACCATACCTTTGCAGTTATATTCTCTTAACGAATCAACAGTATGATCTTATGCAAACTTCTATTTTAGTTCTAGGCAGCTTTTTCAACCTTAAAATGTAATTATATTAGCAGTGTTTTTTTTTTTGGGGTTTTTCAGATGTTCTTTACGATCGAATTAGGCAACCTAGTTTTCCACTCTTTATGTTTACCATTTCCTATTGGGCTCTGAAGTTATTGGACTTGCACAAAAAAACTGTTTCTAAAGATTCCATCATTTATTTGGCTACTCTTTTCGATCCTTCACCTTAATGAATTACTTTACTGTACACACGTCACCTCACTTGCTAATGCAGTATGGACGGTTTGTCAAGCCTGCTTTTGATGATTTTGTTCTGCCCTCAAAGAAATACGCTGATGTGATCATACCACGGGGAGGTGATAACCATGTTGCAGTGGATCTAATTGTACAACACATTCGAACGAAGCTTGGGCAGCATGACTTATGCAAAATTTATCCTAATGTATATGTCATTCAAACAACATTCCAGGTATTTAGCTTTATAAATAGCTTTTGATTCCTGTATTTTATTTTGCTAAGTGAACTTCTAGATCCTCTCATGACAACTTGTGGAGGTACCTTATATAATGCTTTTAATAGCTTGTCTGAACAGATAAGAGGCATGCATACGCTTATCCGTGACCGGGATATAACAACTCCTGATTTTGTCTTCTATTCAGATCGTCTTATTAGGCTGGTAAGTTATTTCTCTCTTTATTTTTTTGTTAGAATTGATATTGTGTGATATATATTTATGTCAATATTTGTAACACAAGAAGAGTATGTCAGGTTGTGGAGCATGGCCTTGGCCATTTGCCATTCACTGAAAAACAGGTTGTCACTCCGACAGGTATCAATAAAAATAATTTGTATATAGCATGAATTAAAAATCATAGGAATTATATGATATTCATTATACGCATCTATTTATTACCTTAAAGTGAACTTGCTGTGTGTTTCATGTTATAAATTAAATCTGGCGACATGTATCTTCTATGTACAATGTAACCAATACTTATTGCTTTAAACTGTTAATAGACACGGGCAACTGATCTGAGTGATTGTAATGCTTTTACGTGTTCTGTAGTGGGACACAGTGATCACCTCCTAGATTAATGTTCAGATCGTTCATTTGAATGCATGTTCTTTTGATGCTTTTTGATTTTCTATGGTTGTAATTCAAACTTGTTTTCTGTCCTAGCCTCCCTGGAAGCACAAATCTATACCTGCTCCTGAGTTTTGACCCTTCTTTTACTATATGAATTTTTTCATCCTATAAGGTTTTATGCTTTTTTTCTCTTTACACACCCACATCATCATCATCATCATCATCCATCAAGCCTTATTTCCATAACTGCTTGAACTATTCATCTGCAAACTATTATGATCCACTTGAAGCATTTGTATGACCTAGCAGAAGCAATTCTCGTTAGCTGCATCAGTCCTCATCAAGATTTGACACATTGTTTTTATAATTATCAGACAATCCAATTGAACATCATTATTTTAATATGTTTGACACTAAAAAGTACACAAATATTTGTCTTCTTGGCCGTTCATATTTTGGCATTCGGGTTTTCGTCTAGTTTGACCAAGGGAAGACTCAAATTGGCTTTGCTCACNNNNTGGTTGGATGAACACCAGAAAGTAGACCTTTTGACAAGAGAAGATCACATCTCATTGTCTTTATTATATTGTCAATCCAAATAATCTACGCCTTCATTTTTGCAGTCTATAGAATTTGGAACAGTGCTCTCATCTATAACAAGTTCAAGCTGTACTCTTTTTTCCCACAGTTGCTATGTCTTTATTATATTGACAATCCAAATAATCTACGCCTTCATTTTTTCGGTCTATAGAATTTAGAACAGTGCTCTCATCTATAACAAGTACTCAAGCTGTGCTCTTTTCCCCACAGTTGAGTGGGTGCTGGCCATAGAATATGCTTAGTCTTTTTATGTAGCCTATTTTTTCCCTTTGCTGGCCCTTTTTTAACTATAGTGGGGCTCAGTCGCTCTGAAGATGCTGCTTACCAAGGACTCATGGTGAATGTGAAGAATATGGTCTTTAAAAGGAAAGAGATGGGGACGCTAAGAATGAAAAATGGTTGAGATAATTTCACCACACTGCTCATGTTCGAGTTTGAAATCGCACATGTTTATTACTAACTACAAATCATAACTTAAGAAGGGGTTCCTTAACACTTGAACGATCAGAATCATCATACTACTTTTGCACCCTTGCCCCCAAGGTCAGTCTGGTATTTCACCCAATATTCTCTAATGTGACACTTTCCTTGACAGAACTAGTTTTCTTTAGTTAAGTTTAGGTTGTAATAAATATCTTTTTCAGAAAATGAATATAAATTGTTTTTGAAGTTCAGAAGAATGATTTTAATGTTAGTTGCCTATGTATGCACATCTTGTCAGGTGAACATGTGAATACATTTCTTTCCGCAGATTTGTGTTATATGGATCTTCATAATGTTAACTAAATTTGGTGTTTGTGAATCTTTTTCTCTTCGTTGAGCTCATTTTCCTTTTCAGGTTCTGTGTACACTGGAGTTGACTTTTGCAAGAAACTCTGTGGAGTGTCTATTATCCGAAGGTGAGCCTTGAATCAGGTATTATTTTGGTTCTGTCGAGATACAGACTGCGACTTAACTTATCCTCATCTAGTTAAAAACAAAGTCCAACATAGTGACAATTTGCAATGATATTTGAACTATTAGTTATAAAGTAGTAATATGTTATTGAAATCATGTGATTCTTCTATGTAATTAGTTTCTCTTGCACTATGATTGCTACGTCTACCTCTCTAGTTATGTCATAAGTCCCCAGGTAGAAGTTGTGTGCAGAAGGCCGAAGATGAATAAGGGGTTTGGATTATCCATTCTGTACCAAAATATTTTCTGCAGAGCTTAAGTAATGCTGGCTACTACCAGGATGGTTATAATGTCTAGATTTCTAACATGATTGGTTCTCTGGTCACTGATTGTAGAGTTCTCCATCAGCAGACAAGTGCATCTATTACTGTATTAGAAGCTACATGTCTCTGGGGTAAGGAATGAGATGGATGGTAGTTTGCATAAGTAGTAGTATTTTTTTTAAACATTTTGAAATCACACGGTACTCATTTCACTGCAATCTGGTTGCTTGCAAGTATAGTTGGCTATCCTGACCTGTTGAGCTGATCGAAACCTTTCAGGTTTGGTCAACTGTAATGGGTATGGGTCAAAAACAGTTCAGTTCGCCTAACCCGTTTTTCACTTGGGTTGGGTTAGGGCCGGACACCTTAACCAGCCTTGACCCAAACAATCAAATTATGTGATATATAAAGTATAATGATCATAATTGCTGCGATGTTTCAGTAGGTCATCTCGTCGCAGGTGTTGATTTCGACTGCAAGCCTGCACGTTTTTAGAAAAATAGATCCCATCAGGCACCTTATATAAATTTAACAAGTACTTTAACTGC